GATCAAGTTAGGAAGACATTCAAGGCCAAAAAAGCCAAGGCAGGAATGACTAAATGAAACCGCCATTTCTCAGTTCCCAGCCCTCCAGCATCCCGTATGCTTGAGGTTGTTTGCCTGTAGGTTGGAGTGACTGTGAAGCAGGCTGGGATGCAAATTTACAGTGCAGCAGTTTGGTGGCCCCCATAAAGGGGGTAAAGGGCTTACTCTCAAATACCACCATCTGAAAGCTAGCAGTGTAATCCTACATGGTTCAGGTTGCTTACACAACCTGAAAAATTCACAAATCCAGATGAGTGATGTGGTATGAATCTACTTTGAAGGGGGACTAGAGAAGATAATGTTAGCTGCAAGCTAAGGGTGTCCACATAGGGAACCAGCACTTTTCAGATTCATAAGCTGACTTAATTCCCTAGCTAGGCAAGCCCGAACAGCAAAGAATATATGGCTTTCTTGACTTTGAAGTTGGAGGTGATGTTTGTATTTAATTGTTTATGGCAGGTAACTTTATACACATTCCGTGACTCTTAATTTTTCAGTTCTACCATTGCAAACTTCAAATCCTATAATCCAAATCAGGTTCTGTTTTGATAGGACAAGCCCCATCTTTCCTTCTCTGGATACATAGTTTGACAAGTGAGGTTTTCCTTTTGGTATATTAGCATCTCATACCTGCCTCAGATTTACAAAATGTGCCAAGGTCTCAATCAAAAAAATGAGGCAAAACCATTTACAAGATAAAACAAGCCACACAGTTTAAAAAAAGATAACCACTTAGGTATAAGTTTTCTTTTGACAACATTATTAGCTAAATACCTTTTCTCTTCCTTCAGTATATGGTGGCATGAAATCTTTTCCCCAAGGCTTCTGAGGTATATGAGAAAAAAAGGGATGGAGAAATATCACAGGGGGTTTGCACCTACTTCGGCAAAATCTGAAACATACTTTCCTGCTACCTGAACCACTACACTGTCTGCAGATTATCAGGTTTCCTTTGGCCTCCATTTTCAAAGTTTTTCCAGGACAGTTCGGATCATCAGCTCTTACAATTTAAACGGAGAGATTAATTTCTAAGGGACTGCTGTAACAGCATGGTAGAAGGCCGGATTGTTTCATTCTTGCAGCTACTAATATGTTTGCCTTCAGAGGCAATCGATCTTTTTGAGATCCCTCTTCCCCTTAGTTTGACAGAAATCTGTTAATGACGAAGCTCTGAGTGTTCTCTAAATGCAATGTGTGGTGAACTTTGAGTCCCAAGCCTGAAGCCACAGTCTTCCCACTGTTTGTTGCTTGGGCTCAATAAACATCACACTGATATATTGAGATGACTCAGCTACGCAGTGTTCACCTGCCAGCACCAACTCACTGGTCTGGACTTGTGAGTTTTTCCAGATAGCAGACAGGCTGAAAGAGCAAAGCCATTTATAGACCTGGTGATTATAATGATGCATGGGAGCAAAAATAGATTTATAACAATCATAACATCCAAGACAGCAATACAAATAGTGAGGATAAAAACCAGGGAAAGATAAATACCTGTCTGGAAATATGACTACTGCTGAATCAATAAGCTGATGTCCTACCAAAAGCATGTCATTACAGATTGAAAGCAATGTGGTATCAGTAACTTTCAGTCTGCCCAATGAAAGTGGTCCTTTTTCTCCATTTTTATGTACTGTTCGAAGTTGCAGTGAACAATTTCTGTTAACTAGAGGGCTGTTTCTGCATCGCTTTTAACTAATGATTTTTAAAACACGCTAGTCATATTCCTGTAACATGGAACAGACTACTTAATGCCTATATTCACCATTTTAGGTTAGTAAAAGAAGAAATCCTGATTTTATTTTTTTTTTTTTTAGTTTCTTTTCCTATTGCATCTCGTAACCTATGTTATGGATAATGAATAATTAAAGGGACTTAACTTTTAAAAAACAATGTCAGGTTGTGTCCCTTCCCTGTTATGGCATGCAGTCACAAACGTGGTTCTTTTAAACACTGCTGGGAACAGCCTGGTTCTAGCATGGACAAGTGTTTATTACAGGGTTTACTGCCTTGTCCTATGATTCCATGCTCTCCAAAGCACATCTTAACTAATTCCCAAAGGCAAAGTGGCAACGCTGTAAAGCACTTGCGAAAACATTCAAACTGCAGTTTAAACCTTGTTAAAGCACAGTTCTTCTGTGAAAAGTGACACTAAAAATGGCAGTGTGGGATCCTGTATTTATTGTCTATTTGTGATTTCCAGATCAAACATGCTAAGTACAACTATATAGTTCCCTCCTAACATCCACAGCCAGCTCCACAGACTCCAGTGAGATTAGATAGTTGAAACTTTCATGTTCATGTATCCTAAAGATGATGGTCTCCTTAGCATCTGTCTAAACCTGCTGTCCTCACTGAAACAGATACCCCTTGGCCCCTTTCCATTTAGCTGAATGAGCTCAAGGAGGATCTGTTTTCTTCTCACTAACCTGTGTCAGTTTTTTCACTGCTTAGGGGAGTAAAACATCTTTTCAGGCAGGTCAGCAAATCTAACTCTGAACACAAATACACACAAAGCAGATCTGCTGAAGAAGATGCCACTTCCTAACCATAGCCACATTTTGAGCTAAAGAATTTTAATAGCTTTTTAATTTGTTTTCTCGTCATGGCATAAAATATTTTGATCTCTAGAAAATTCTGATATGAACAATATTCTCTATACACATTAACCTGTTTAAGCACAAGCTTATGAGCTACATTTTTATTTCTCTAGAGAGCCAGCTGCTGTGTATTTATGGCTGGCACCAGCAATAAGAAGACACAGACCAATCCAAAGCCCATTGAAATTCAGTTACACTGTTCAATTAACCATGGGGAGCTTGCTATAGGTTTGGTGTTTTTCTTTCTGCTGTATCTGAGCAGGAAGCAATCAGCCTCACCCACCTCCCAGAGACCTCCGAGTTGACACTGGAGCTTGCTGTTCCCAATCAGAAGAGACACATTGCCATGTCCAGCTCTTGGCCTCTGAGGGAATAAAGCTAGTTTGGCTTAAATAACTTCTGCTGGTAGAGTTCCTAGAGCATTCCGGTTGACACTTAAAGTTGGTCCCTATATGGAGAATACTGTGCTCATGAATAGCTACCCTTGCACAGTCCAAGATGGCCATTTCAAAAATAGTCCCTCCCCCTACCCACAACGAAAATGTAGAAATGTAGAGGTAGATCCTGTTTATTTGCACTACTGTCCCTCTATCTGGGCAGTACGTTCATAAATATATCTAAGAATAGATGCTAAAGTACTAAAAGGCTCTGAAGAGATTACAGGAACAGTTACAGCATCCATTCAAGGTGCAATAGTAATTGAGTGGTGACTACTACCCAGCAGATGCCAGCAATACTCCCTCAGGTGGCGTGCCAGTTTTCACATCACCTCTTACAAAGAACTCATCACTAATTCAAGTGTCTTGAATTTTTATCATCCTGACGAGTGTAATCAGCACCTGTTTCAATCTTAGGTTATGCTTGACGGGTGCTCAAATGGTTACAGATGTGCAAGAAGGAATGCACGAGGCTGTCCTTCTTGAAGATGATAGTTTCCTGACTTAGTGTAGCTGAATTTTTGTGAAACAATATGCAGGCTTTTTCCACCACACTCTTTTGCCAATCCTGCACAGCCTTGTGACTCAAAGGGGCAAAACTGCATAACCGAGAGCCAACGTGGGCCCCAGATTTCAAATGCTCGAGAGCTGGAATATCCAGAGCTGAGGTTTTGGTCTGGCCTGTGAAAAGGGAGAGAAAACCATCTGTGAAAACTGGAGGCACATCTGGGTTTGGCTTCTACCCCAGGATCCCACAGCCTCCCATAATTACTTCATGAATATTTGCAGGTTGGGAAAAGAAATTGTTTCTCCGCACCTTTACTTGGGAAGCAGTGCTCAGCTCTGCACCTGGTACACGCAGGTTCCCCGGGGCTTCCAAGGAGCCCTCTGAGAAAGCCAGGGAGGCAAGACCAGTAGGGTTTAATCCTTACGGCTTTAGAAAAATGCCCTTTGCTAGCTTAAAAGCACCACATGGCCAGTGAGGAAAGGAAGAACAGGCCCCCGAGTGGCGCCTCTCCTGTGGACAAGGGCTTGCTGAAAACACTAAGCCTTCCCTTTTTTTGGACACTGAATGTCACTGAAAAATCACAACTGCATGTGCAAGAGCCCTGTACCGTTCCCGCAGGTCTCTCCTCTTCGCAAAGCCCCTCTGGGCTGGTGCCAGCTGGTGGGCCGCCCGGGCAGCTGGGCACCCGTCATGGCACGCAGGCCTGAGGCGGCAGGGGCAGCTGGGCCATTCCTCACATTCCCTCCTCAGCAGGGACGAGAAACCAGCGGGGATCCTGCTTCCCCTCAGCCTCCCCCTCCCTGGCCTGTGCTTCCCAGCCAGCCCTGCTCCTGGAAGCCCCTGGGGAGCCGAGGCACACGGAGCCCTCTCCCTGCCCGGGAAATGGCAGCCCCGTGTGTGCTCGAGGGCCGAGAGCAGGCGGCCATGCTGCGGCGGGCCCTGGGGCTCAGCCTCCAGCGGCGATTTTCAACCACGTCCCCCGTGGGGCCGGGGTGCCGAGGGAGCCGCCATGTCCCTGGGCCTGCGCGTCTCCCCTCCAAGCCAGCTGCTCAGGGGAGAGGAGGGGGGGACAGCCAGACAGCCAGACAGAGCCCAATTAAACCCTCCCCTGGCCAGCCCCTGACACTCCCTCCTGCATTTTCCAGTCTGTGGTTAGAGCACTCAAAGGGTTCCATTAAGTCATCAAGTTTTACAGGTTCCTTAAAAAAAAAAAAAAAAGAGGGGAAGAGAGAGAGAGAGAGAGAGAGAAGTTTGGTCATGGTAGGGAATGAGTGATCAAAGCTGAGCCAAAGCTTCCTGTTACACCGGGACTATATATATATCGTGTCTTTAATGTTGGGGGATGTAAGCAGGCTGCTAGGAGACTGGAGCGGGAGCTGACTCTCTGCCTGATTTCCCAGCTCGCTGAGGTTTCTTCCACCGACCACAATGAACAAGTTCCTGTGCTGCACGCTTGTGGTAAGTCTCTTCAGAGAGGTAGATAGGCTTTAAGATGCATTACAGCTTCAGAGATCCGCCTGTAAAGACATACAGCTTTTCTTCTGGGGTTTTTTGTTTGGTTTTTTGTTTGTTTGTTTGTGGTGGGTTTTTTTGTTTTGGGTTTGTTTTTTTTTTTTGCCTTCTCTCCGTCTTCTTGGTAAATCCTTTTCGTTTCATCACGCTGAGCTTTCCTGGTGAGGTTTGGAGTGTGATGGACACATCCAGCTCCAGGGAGGCAGCAGGGATTTTCATCCCATTCTTAAGGTAGTGGCACGATTTGCTTTTCTTTTGCCTTTTTTTCCTATCCTCCTCTCTCCTTTTGTAAGGCTTCATCATACCGGGCTGACACAGAACACTGTATCTAGGAATTAATTTAGAAACTGTAGGCTGGGATGTTTGGTTTTGATTTACAAAAGCTCCATCCCTGCCTGTGTCTGTAATCGTTGCTACAGTGGCACTGGGCAGTATCTGAGATACTGCGCTGGCTTTCTTACCCGGGAAAACCACTGTGAACTCCAGAAAGAAGCACAAGCATGTGGTGCTTGTTTTGGCTTAGAAAATTCAGCTTCATTGCAAGAAAGTGATGAATTAGTAGCTGTGTCAGTAGCTATTACAGAAAAAGTTGTGTTATTAAATCTGGTATAAGCCCCTGCTTTAATAAGTTTTTGTTTACTTGGTGATTTAGCAGGATACATCCAGATGCAAATTTAGAGATGTCAGCAGTGCAATAAATCTTTCAAAATGTCATTTAATCCATTTAGCCGTATGGAATTGTATATGAAGTCAGATTAATTAAAACCTGCAGACAGGCAGATACTGTGTAACATCTATTTGGAGGCTATTCATCTTTTGGATAAGAAAACATTCAAAGAAAAGTGTTAAAAACTAATATTCAGAGCAGGCTGTTATGCATGCCTGCGTGGTAACTTGTTCCTGCGTTGTTTTGGTGAGTACAGTGGCATTAATGTTGTGGCAGAGCATTAGAACTGAGATCCATTTATTTTGAAAGCTTTTTATAAATGCAAGGAGATTTCCAGGATCCGATGAGTAATGCATGTTTATTACTCTCTGTACAACTTTCTGAAAGAGCTTTTTGAGAAACAAACCAAAGTAATTAATGGTGCAAGGGAAGCAAAAATTGTCAGGCTCGTGGTCAGCAAATTGAAACGCAGGACAACTTTTTCATCTCGTGTATGCTGTTGTGCCTTCTTTGTCTATATGAAAGCACAGGAAGTTAATCTGGGAATTTCAGCAATAGCCTGTAATCAGCTTGGCTTCTTATCTGTGGCTGTCATAAAACAATCACATCAGTATTTTCATTTTGATTAAATGTAATGTGCCTGTTCATGTTCTCCCATAAAGTAATAGCGTTTGGTGAAGTTCAGCATAATTTGCTGGCAGATGAATCTCAGAGCTGAAATACCTCAGTGGCAGGAGTACATACGACGGAGCTTCATCATTCAACTCTTTTTTTATTATTATTATTTAAAAGTAATTTGTTTAAAGTTAATTGTGAAGTCTGTCAGTGAAGTTTAAGTACTGTCAGATGTGCTAGAGCTCAGACATAGTTTTAGTACCCGTTTTATAAGAACACGTGTAAGAGGAGCAACAGCAGTTCAAAGTTGTGTGTGTTTGGCTCACATACCTTAAACTTAAGTTTGGAGACACCATATGTAAAAAAGACTCTTTGGACATGATGTTCTTTCAGCCTTGGCCTCTTTGCTAAGGTTTCAGAAAGGGGACCTGCTGTGGTGGTGCATGCATGTACGTGTTGTTTGCTGGAACACTAAAACTGCTTACAAACAGACAAGCATTATGAAATTGGACTGAATTGAAAGAAATTCCCCAGAGCTGGATCTCATTACTTGTCACGTAACTATCTTGACCCTTAAACTTGACCTTTCTCTATTTTGGATCTCTGGGCGCATGTGACAAGCTTTTTCTGGCCAGCCTGTTGGGTTTGCTGTGTGTAGGCAGCAGTGGCTTTGCAGCCCGCGAGGGTAGGAGTTATCTTTCTGTCTGACTTACTTTCTGTCTGTCTGCATGTGTGTTGGTTAAAAATAAAATACCAAGGTTACCAGAAGAATTTTTAAAAGATATTGTCACAATTTAAATAACACCCACTGTTCAAATCTCACAGAAACTTTAATTTTGTTCCTTCTGTATTTAACTTTTAAGCTAGTAGATTTACTACTCTGATGGTCTTCCTGGAGAAAAACACCTGTTTGCACATAATACTGGACATAACTGTTTCTCTAGAGCTAGATGGTCAAGTTGTTAGTGATTCTGTTCAGTGCAAAGGCAGACTGTAGTCATGGTGGTAACATCCCAGGTCTGGATTATCTTCAAATCTTGCTGTCACTCTGGTGAATAATGTTGCAAAATATGAGTTATGGATAAGACGCATCTTTTGGTGAGTAGCTAGTTAGACTTTTCTGCTTTCTCCCTCCACAAGCTTCCAGGCAAACGTAACTTGTAAACGAAGACTTTCAATTTAACATTTCTTTGATAAGATGCAAAACTGCTCTTCAGCTGAATGTCATTTTCCTACCACTGAAAATGAAACAATAGTTTAGACCCCTAAATTGCTTTGTGAATGACAACTAATGGTGCTTTACAAAGTCTCTGCGAGATTTGAATTGTTGACATACTGCTTTACGGACAGAGGAATGAAGACAGTGGTTGATAGCCTCAGCTTCGAATGCAGGTGAGTCACTAGTTACATTCCTTATGTAAAAGAGCAGCCTCCACTTTATAAAGCATCTTCCACACTAAAGTAGGCCCCGTTTGTCCAAAGTGAGTGGATTGCATTGAACTAGTTGGCAGAATAGTGGAAAAGCTTTGTAAGCTACACTCAAACCAGCGGAAACGACTTCATCTTAGCTTTTGTTGCGTTCCTGACGCTCAGCTGTGGTCTGCCGAAAGGTGCTTTGCCTGGGCTGTGCTCTCAGTGAGCCTGCAGCAACCCACGGGGTAAGCAGTGCTGCGTAGCTGTTGGCCCGAAAAGGTTACATTCGGTGATTGCGCGGGGGCCCCCAGAACAGTAAGGTGAGGAGGATGAGAGCTGAGTATCTCCCAGATGGACGGGAGTCATTTTTCCCTAGATGACAAATATTTTGCAGTGGTTATTTGCAGTAGACGGCTGTAAATCTGATCCAGCATGACAGTGTAATGCACTGAATCTAGAGATACTGTGTTGATTTGATAAGCTATTGATTAGGAGGACCTCGTTAATACCATTCAGTGCTATATTTTGCCACAGGGATTTCTCTGGGATGTGTGCGTGACTTCAGTGAGGCATTCTGCCTAAGGGCTGAGGGTAAGTGAAGGCCTCCTGCCTTAGCTTTGTCCAAATACTTTGTGTAGAAAGCAAAGTAGGAGAGTTCTGAGGTTTTACTTTGAACCCAACGCAAACACTAGGAGTAATCTGACAGATGCCTTGAATGATTATTTATCACGCAGGAAAATATGCTTCATAATAGTTGTGGAATGCAAAACAGAAACAGATTTATCTTTCTCAGCAAATTAAGCATTCTCCTTTGGTCTACAACCCAAAACCACAAAGCCAAGCTATATAATAATATTTTCATATGCTGAAAAGCCGCTTTCTTTTCTCTCACAAAGCAGTGATTTAAGGGGATGATGCTTGAAGGATTTTTGCTTTATGTGCTTTGTCTTCCAGTTCATTTTAATTCAACAAGAAAAAGCAAGCAGCTCTTTGCCTTACATTTAAAGATGAAAGAAAAGGGTGTGTACCTTTTTCATGCCCAAGATCTGAAATGAAATTTTACAATCACATTATTTCTCTTTCAAAAGCGTCTTCTAAGAGCTCAAATAAATGGACTGCACAGGTCTTTTATGTTAGCGTTGTGTATGCTGACATAAAGGTGGTATGGAAAAATATAGCTTCAGGCCTAATGTGTTGAGTGACACAATCAAAGAATTGCTTTTTAACCTTGGGTAACTCATTTTGAATAAGTTCTCAGTATTGACTTGCATGACACTGACTTACACTAGACTTGTATTTCCGTATTTACAGTTCATCCCAATTCCTCACACAGAGACAGCCCTCCCGAGAGGTACCCAGGATTTGGCCCACGGACATGGATGAGAACTGAGTTTTTCAGTCCTTTCAGAACAGAGCCCGTGACACTAGAACTGAATTTCACCCAGTAGGTTGACAGATGTAGTTAATGATACCAGATTTTGTTTTAGTTTTGGTTTGTTGTAATTACTTTGTTTCTGATAGCATTTCATACTCATAGAACAAAAAAACCCCAGCCTTTGGTATTGTTTTTTTTAAATTGAGGCTTGCATTAGGAAATGCCCTAGGAAAACTGTTTGCAATTGAGTGCACTCTGAATCAGACTAACAATTAGTTTGTTGAGATGAACAAGATACGGAGTATCATTGGCTTCCATCGGTGTTGGGATATAAAGGATTTGCTTAGGGTTTAAAACTGAAAGAAACTGCCTAGATCTTTTCAGTCTGTTCCCCAGCTCTTCCCGGAAACCAAATGGCATATTTGCTTTCAGAAATGCATTGAGAGCTATATTTAAACTACTTGGGTTTCTTGCACCTGCCTCTCAGTAAAAGGCTGTTCCCAAACTTCCTCTGACGAGAGGAATAATGCCAGCATTATCCTTTAATGGGGAAAGTTCTCCCTTCATATGTTCACTGTCTATCTGTACTAAATCTATAGGTACTGTTTTGACTTGCCTAGCTATCAAACAAGTCGCGATCCTTTTCAAGATGAAGCTCTCCATTTCCTTCTAAACTTTCTCTGTACCCCTTCCAGGCTGAATTAACCTTTCCTAAACAAGGATGAACAGAATTTTACACAATCTTCTGAATGACAAATCCATGACTTTGGCCAAGTGTAGCAGTGATAGACTCCAGCTTGGGTTTCTTAAGGGTTAAAGGCTGAACATGCTCATTGCCCCTACTTCTGATTCCAGTGAACGGAAGCCAGACTTCTAGTTTCTTCCTCCTTTCAAACTGGAACATGCCACCTTCTCCAGCAAGAACAAAACAGGCCAGTGCCAGCATGATTATAGGAGAAATCCTGCTTTCTGTGAAGCTTTTGGGAAGACCAGCGTTCAGAACTAGTAAGTTCTGATCATGGCATTTTCATGTGCTCAAATAGTGCTATTTCTTACAGAAGAGATTCGGGTGTTTAGTACATAGCCCACCTTAAGTATGGGCATTCAGGTCAGTCAGAGGTTTTATGTGGCTGAGAATCTGCTGCCGAGTTGGTCATAGCATAGTTTAGGAGATGAAATGTCAGGAATGACATAAAATGCATTTAATTGCCATTTTAATTTGATTTGGGAACATGCTTTTGAAGGGCCTCTCTTGGTCATCCTTATTTACTGTTATTTTAGTTTGCACATCAGAGCAGACTCGGAGTGCACAAAGTGGATTTACAAAAGTAAACTGGATTGATGAAAGTAAATCCAGAGATGGACTCCAGAGATGCACCAGATGCACTGTAGCCCCTAATGCATGCTCAGTCCGTGAAAGCAGACTGAAGTTAGTCCAAAATACGCCCTCTGAATCATGCATAATGTGGTTGTCAGGTGCTCGGCACCATCTGTTTTGCTCTACAAATCTGCTGTAACAGGTGATCCAACTTGCTAATGTAAGCACAAATTCAGTGTGTCTTAGGCTAGGAAAAAGGACAATTCGGTGGCATTCCCCTTTAGCTTATTCTGTGAGCTGGGGCACAAGAAGAGTCTTTTCATTCTGTTTGTGCAAGTTGCTGCAGTAAAACTAGTAAAACTTATACTTAATTACCTTCCACTATTCTTCCTGCATTTTTGCAAAACTTCGGAAAAATCAATTGCTTTTGCTTTGGCACTTGTAGGTTCAAGGATAACTTCTGATTTTCAGGTTGCATATTAATATTCATGATACCTACGTGTGCTAGGTGTTTTCAATCTGCATAGAAGACTATCTTGCACATCTATTCTCTTAAGTATTATTAAGGGATCTTCAGTAGTCTTATGAAATGTGGTATTGGGGATTGGAGTCTAGAAATGTACTTGACAACATACTAATGGCTGTACTGGGTCTAAGAAAAAAACAATCCAGAAAAAATGCCCTAAAAAGCCTGATATGCTGTCTGTGGCAGGGGTTGATAACTGATGCATAGAAGACATGGAAGAGAAAGGCAGAAAAATAGTGATATTTTTCCAAAACACTCCTCCAGACTCAAGTTTGTGGTTTGGTACTTCCAAAGGCAAAACTTCACATGGTCTCACACACATATTGTTCAAGTATTTTTTTTGCTCAATTTTTTAAATCAATTCCTCCCAAATTGTGTTGAATTGTTTTCAGTTTTTATTGGCTTGCTTCACATAGCTGTAGGTTCTTCAGGAAGCAAGTACCTCCATTTTTCCC